CGTCAACTATAATAACTGGGCGCATGCAAGTAATAAACGAACGAATCTACAAAATAATATACACAAGAAATATAATCATTTAAATGTAAAATGCATGTAACTAACAAAAATGAGTCAACAAAATTATATTGATTTACTAACCGCAACACCAATGGCGATAAACAACAACTCAAAGCGTCCATCTCTATCTATTTTGATATGAGTTACCGACCCAGGATTTTTCAGCTTTAAATTATGACAATAAGCCTGCAGTTGGGCAAACGATGCTTCTGGCGACCCCCTCAACAATTCAAAGGCATAACATTTGGCTCTCCAAGCTTGAGAATATGATATACTAATCTTGAACCGAGAATTCATGTCAGTCATAATTTCATGTCCCCGATATACCCTGCCATTCAAAAACATTAAGTCAGCCAGAAAACCACCCAACACCTTTTTGTTTGCCTGCCTATGGTGAGGAAAAACTTGGGTTCTTGAACATGTATGTTTATTAATAAAAGTCCTAACTTGAAACATTTCACAATCTTTTATCCTCTTTGCAATCATACGCCACGTACATTTTTTTGTCAATCATACACCTTGTTTCGAAACGATCTTTGCTTGATTTGTTAACTTTTAGTTGATAGCCATCTTCCATACATTTCGTATACAAAGCTATCTTCAAGTCTTCCTTTGTATCAAAACAATCATCTTTCTTGATACGAATAATTTTTGTGTAACAATCAACTGCTATCTTTACCAACTCTTCTTCCGTTATCTGAAGTAATTCTGGTATATTCCAGTTATACTCTCGTGGCATTTTCTTCGGGGACTTTTCTTCGGGGATTTCTTCTTCTTCTTCTTCTTCAGGGTTATATGAATTATAGAATGGATGTTCAACATATTCATTCACAGTCGTAACTTCCCCCTCATTATCATCAACAACATCTTCCTCGGCAGCGGCTGTTTCATCATCAAAATTTGGGTATTGACCAATATCAAAATCATTACACGCATTGTCTGTTTCTTCTTCTGAAACATCATCAAAATTCGAGTATTGACCAATATCAAAGTCCGGGTATTGACCAAGATCAAATTTCGAATACTGACTAGTACTCACAATTTTTTCTGTTGGCTCATCATCGTCTAACTGGTCAATACGAAAACCGGAATTTGGTGTTGAAAGTTGATTGGGATTTGGATTAGAGAAAAGTTGTGGGTTTTGAGATTGTGTTTGGTATTGGAAATGTGATGAAACAAAATTTGCTTGGCGATGAAATTATGGTGGAACCATTAAATTTTGAGCATCATAAACTGGGGTTGAAAAACTTAGTTGATTACTACCCGCTACTGACCCAACTTCACTACTTCTAGGTTCAACAACATACAATGTAACACCATCTTGTGAAACACTAATGTAAGCAATGAATCGTTCAACATCTTCATTGTCGGTTAACAAATAAACTTTACCTTTTCTCTGATAAGATAGCCTAAATCTACTTAGGGGCTCTAAATTCAATTTATTTGCAACACGTAACATTAGAGTTTCATAAGTTAACTTTTTTAATGACATTTTTAGTTGAAGATTCATGGGTAAAGGCATATATTGTAAAACACCATGAACATTCTCCCATGACCCTCCAAAACACAAATCTATCCAAACATGATCAACATTAGATGATTCAATTATTGTAAATTAATTTACTAAACAAACGAACTGTGAAACTAAAACCTGTTACCGGATGGGGAAGAATGTCGTTAGATATAGGATGTCGTTGGATGTAGGAACGGATGTCGCCGGAAAGAGTGATAGATGGAGATGGAATGAGTTATGATTTAGGGATGTAGGCTATGAGTTGCTGTTGCTGCGTAGTTATATACCAAAAATATTTGTGTTGCGAAACTAAAACCTGTTGCGAATTTGAAATTCAGTATTGCGATAGTCAGAATCGCATTGCGATTTACATATTCGCATTGCGAATCTGGAAACTGATTTGCGATGCTAGAGATCGCATTGCGTTTTTGTTGGTCATTTTAGCAAATCGAAAAAAAGTTGGTCAAAATCATATATTAGAAGGCATTTTCGGTCACTGAGGTTATTTTCTCTTTAAAAAAAACCATTGGCGTTTAAGAAACTTTTTCAATCAATTGAAAGTCAGCTTCCATTTTTTATTTGCACAGTTTTTATTACTCCATATTTTATCTGCATTTATATATATTTTTTAAATAAAGAACCTTCAACTTCTGGCCGGTTAACAATCTATTTAAGCAGTGCCTTGGATACCTCATTCAAGGCATTAAACAGTGGGAAAAAAAATCTTTCGGCTTCCTACAACCATGAGAACTAGTAAGAGCTAACAACACTATTTTTCCTTTAAAATTTAATTTATTTGATCCAAAGCTTTTTATATTTTCTGATTGTTATGCATGATTGAGTGGGTCAGTTGATGAGCTTTAGCATACAGTAAAAAGTTTTCTATAACAAGATAGATATCTGCTTTGTTTCTTTCTTTCTTTCTTTCTTTCTTTTTGATCTTTTACTTACTTTACTCTTTAATGTATCTTTTTATAAATAATTTCATAATTAAATGAATTAATTCAGTTTTCAATGTTATTATATATTGTCCTCTTTTACATTATTATTGTTAGGTTAGTCAAATGATGCATGCAAGCTATAACTTAACCCTTGTTATCCAAAGGTTATCATATTTACTTAACCCTTGATGATGATTATTTTAACCAAACCCATATGACAGTAGCGAATATTATTTAAAAGTAAATTGAAAAGGTTTGACTTCCGTTCAATTACCGTTAGTTATCATGTGTACTTAATAAGGTCAAGGGAGTAGAATAGTTTTCTATAAACATTATTAATGACATCGAATGATTAATCTTAGGGGACATGTTGCACTAACACAAAGTCAAAAATTAGTAAGTATATGCACTTAAAATTAAATGTTGATGTTGCTCCTATTCATCTGATCATGACATAGATTTTGTGGCTGTCCCAAACAACTTTGATTTACTTGATTGATAAGCATTCAATTGCTTAACTTGATTGGTAATTTTTTTGTGGTAATTGACCATGCAAAGGAGCAAAATTTCAAAGATGCTCAGCTAATCAATGATTTTTTTTACTTTATTAAACTAATGATGTTCGAAAATGACAACTCCTCACAAATACCATCCTGTATCGCAGAAGTCAGAACACCTTTTAGTTCTTCTTGTTCTTGATGAAACAATCTTCAAGTCTTGATTTCTTAACTTCGGAAGTTTAATTGGTGCAGAAAGTTGAAAGCATGAATCCCCAGTCAGCCGCCGGGCTCCCGGTAGTTAACCTTTTCGATGAGAATTGCAGGCCTGGAACTGCCGCTTGGGTCTCCAAATGCAACGACGTTCGACTAGCGCTCGAAGAATACGGCTGCTTCCTTACGCCTTATCACCAAGTTTCATCTCAGCTTCAGGATCAAGTCTTTAACTCCCTGCATCAATTGTTTGATCTTCCTCTGGAAAGCAAGGTTCGAAACACCTCTGAGAAACCTTACTTCGGTTACTTTAAGCACCCTTCCATTCCCCTCAGTGAAAGCATGGGTATTGATAACCCAACGACTCTTGATGGAACTCAATGTTTCACTCATCTCATGTGGCCTAATGGCAACCCAGGATTCTGGTACGTATTTATCTCATCATACGAATATGCAAACATCAATTTGAGAATATGAGTTACAGCTTTTACCATTTGTTTATAGTGAAAGTGCTCATTCGTATGCAAAGCTGGTGTCCCAACTGGATCAAACGGTGAAAAAGATGGTATTTGAAAGCTACGGTGTAGGGAAATACTATGACTCTCACATTGATTCAACTAGTTATCTTCTTCGGCTGATAAAATATAGAGTGCCGGATGAAGGGGAAGAAGTTGAAGACTGTGGATTTCCCCACACTGACAAGAGCTTCTTGACCATACTTCACGACAATCAAGTTGCCGGCCTTCAGACAAAAACTAAAGATGGAAGATGGATATGTGTTGAGCCATCGGGTTCAATGTTCATAGTCATGGCCGGCGATGCATTCTTGGTCAGTTTTCTCTCCCTCTCTTTTAATTATTATAAATAAGAAACTCCACCTAAATATAAAAATAATAATTTCGTGGATGGTAGGCATGGAGCAATGGAAGGGTGCATTCGGCAACGCATCGTGTGGTTACGGAGGGGAAGAAGACGAGATATTGCGTGGCATTGTTTTCATTTAGCGGTCAGACGATAGAAGCTCCGGTGGAGCTGATTGATGAGGCCCATCCCTTGAAGTTTAAGCCCTTTGAAAATATGGAGCTACTTCGGCTCTATTCCCTTGATGATTTTCAAAAATATTCCCAGGTTTTCAACGGCCAGGCCTAATCTGGTGCATAAACTAGGCAAGGCTCAAGTGTATTTCAAGTATATATGTAATTTTTATTTAATAATACCCTTTACCAGTTTCTCTTTTATATATGGTTCCTGAATTGAAATGAATATGACTTACATTGTCTCCCAGACTTGATATGTATATATGATGGTGATATGTCCCAATATAATTACAGCCATTTTAGCCCATAAATCTCTCTGACTTGAATCAAATCTATATTCGAAAACAGTCATTTCTTTTGCCTTTTCGCGCTGCATATCTTAATTAACAAATTGTCTTTTAAATCGAAGAATTGGTGACAAGATGATAAAGGTGTTAAATTTTTTAATATTTAATTTAAATTAATTATTAAACCAGATATTATATCAGGAAAATATAAGGAATAGGCTAGGGGCATTAGGCATATAAGGAAAAAGGGGTATAATGGTAATTAAGAGTCAGGGTTGTACACAGAAAAACCCTAATTCGCTTCCTATAAATACACAAACATATGGAAGCATCCCTGAGCAAGCCGCGAAGTCAAGTGATATCCTCTACTTTATTTATGTTCATCTTCATGAATATTTTCTTCTACTAATTATTATTAGTAATTTTGTTTTCTTAATCGAGTGTTTCCTTTGAGAGCAGGGATAGTGTGTATCGGCGTTGTGCAAATTTTACAGTGAACTATGTTCGAAAGAGTTTCCTGCAAAATTGATTTGGGGAAGATGGGCAGTTATGCTTCATGTCTACCATTGATTCTTTTCAACAATCATCTTCCCCATATTCCAAAATCTTGTGTCTTTTCATAATAGTTTTTCATCATGATTCAACAAGCAAGTCATTTAAAAGAGAAACTGAAAATACAGTCTTTGTCGGAGTATGATTTTCCCCCTAAGAAGAATAAAATTTGTACACCAGCAGTTAATAACCTACGGTTCTGATGATGATAGTTCGAAATATTGGAAAAGTTTATAGATGATTTACGGTTCATGTCAATGACTTGTAAATTTCGATATTAGTAATCTCAATTTTATTTAGCTAACAATTTACTGTACTATAGTGGTGAAGATATTATGAACGCCATTTAAACTTGTTTCCCCAGATTTTGATAGTACCTGGGAATCTTGTTTGCACGGAACTAGGTGGAAAAGCCTTAATAAGCTCTCTGAATAACGGTGAATGAAATGCTTCAAGTGAACCTGGTATAAAGTTATATATGACAGGAGGATCACTTGAAACGAATGCCGACGTGAATAAGCATTGTTGGGAAATAGATTCTCTCGGCAGTGTTCTAATTGGAAAACAAAATGATTCACTGGATGAATTTACACAAGCTCTCTGTTCTGTCCTATGGCTTTGTTTATAACAAAGTGAAAAGACTCGGGACTCATATAAGTTCAACTTCCCAGTGATTCCCACAGCGAACGAATTAATAGGACAAGACTTATGGAACATGAAAATTTTCTAACAATATTCCAGAGTTTGATCAACTTGGTAACAATGACTTGTTCATTTGAACTCCACTAACGCTGTTCCTCGCAGCCGTTATTTTATCGAGAGAAAGTCTCTTCTTTGTTTCTGCCACTGATCTTTGCTTTGGCGCACTGTGAGATCTTAACTTGGCCTTGAACGATTGTGTGCTCGCCATGTAGTTTGGGAGGTTCGAAAAAGGTCGTCTAAAATATCTGTCCCCGCACACACTCAATGGTGTAGTAGGAGCATCGAAAGTCCAATTTGTGTTACGGAAACGAGGAGTGGTCTGAGCTGTAGAGAGCCTACATTCATCGTTGGTGAAACACCATTCAAAATATCAATAATTTCGTGATGGGGTGTGGATGCTCGGATTGGTAACGGACATGGAAGAGGGGAAGAGATTGCCAAGTATGGAAAGTCGTTCTCACGTTCTGATAATGCCTTAAGGTTGAACCTGCGTGACCTTGATCTTGTCTTGAATGTATCAATTTCAACAATTTTCGGGCTGTCATCATATACGTTTGATTCTATTGATGCAGACAGTCTTTTGCTGTGAATTTCACTTCTCGATTCATCATAGCTCTCCTGTAAAAGACACAGCAAGAGAAAAATCAATATAACCAAAAATTGAATGTGGAAAATGGATTGAGAAATGGATCTTACAATGGATTTCCGGGGCCTGTTATCGAGACAATACGAATACTCCTTGTTGAAGGAACGACGTACCCGCTGAGAACGAACTGATGTCTGTGCTCTTAGTAGAGCTTGCATACTGTGAAAAGTTACAATAGCCCTCTTTAAGGTAGCCTCTTACAAGAGCTTGTAACCGAACCAGACCTTTCAAAGCTCTAAGTGCTTTCCGAGACTTGGACAAAAAACAAATTAGTTTCAACAAAGGGGTTTCTAAGGTAAAAGTTGTGAACCCAAATATTTGAGCAATTAAAACCAGAAGCCAAAAAGGTTGAACAACTGATTACGTTTGAGCAAATACTTAAGTGAGACACTTGTAATTTTAAATTTCAAGAAATGCAATCATATTCAGACCTAAAAACATCAAAAATTGAATCGAGTCGTATGCATTGGACAACATCTCCCATCAATTCAGTTGGGGTATACTGATTACTAGGAGGAATGAGGATTTTGGCTTTTAGTCAAAAAAGAGAGTTTGGAAAAACATAAGTAGCACAAGTACATTGAGCAAAGATATCACACGGACCAAAATGTAAACATACTCGAAAAAGAATGTATAATCCAGTTACTAAAATAAATGCACTTACCAAATAGCCTCTAAAGATGGTTTGAATTTTCACAGCCGCCCACCTTTCCCTCCCCCCGCCAAAGGAAGTGACTCTTCCATTACCGGTTAGCTTCACCACTGCCATTGCTGCCGTGGCTGCTGCCACCGCAATTGCATGTTTGTTCTGATCTTTATTCGTTTCAGCAACGTAGGAGCTCAGCCAAGCACCCTCCGTACTTGTGCAAACATTCCTTGGACTATGAGAGATTTCATCAACACCCTTGCTTGATTTGACAAAACTCAACCTTTTCTTCTCCTTTTTATAATATAAAATTGATGAATTAGACGAATTTTGGTATTTATTATCTTTTTCTTTCTCCCGTTTCAAGCCTAATAATCCCTTCAGCCACCTTGCTGCTTTTCCCATCTCTTAGAGATCAAAACTAAGGCAAGAAAAAGAATAGTGCCAACAAAAATTATTCCTTAAGACAGAAACAAATGAAGCTGAGTTCGTTAAAGAGCAAAAAAAAAAAAAACTAAAGAAGCTGTATTTTATTTTATTATCACTTTCCCTAGAATCTGAAGTGAAAAAACATGAGAGAAATAACAAGCAGGCAGGTAGCTAGCTAGTAAATCTGTATAGAGAGAAACGAGAAACGTCAGAGCCCTGATGGTTTTGTTCTTTTAGCAATAAAAAACAAGTAAGAAAACTTTCAAAAAGAGAAAGTAATTACTATAATAAAATTTAGAAAAAAGATAACAAAGAAAAGCGAAAAAATTTGCTCCTTTTAAAGTTTTAAAGTTGGAATCGAGTTTATTGAGAGAACAAAAACACTGCAACATCTCTAAAATCTTCACTGTTTTACAGGTTAAGAGTAATGTGGAGGAAGAACAATATTAACCAAAAGGAAAAAAGAACTTCCAAAAAAACAAAAACCTTAAACTATATGGATAAAGGTTGGATTTTTTAAAAAGGAAATCTGACACAACCTCGTGAATAACAGCACTACAAGACGAAAGAATAAAAAAGAAAGATGTCATGATTTATATTTATTACTACAAGAAAAAATATGTTTCAAATAAAACTCAGATTCAGTAAGCAAAAACAAACAATTACAGACAAAACGAAATCTTTTAAAAAGGAGAGGTAATGATAATCTCATGAAAGTAGAAGAAATCTAGTTTCCCTCTCACCTTCTCAAAAATTCAAAAGTAGCGCCCTGGGTTGCTCTGTCCCAAAGCTTCAAACTTTTTTTCAAAAAAAAAAAATCTAAAGATTCTCTCAAACTTTGTTGAGCGATGCGTATACAAATGAAAGAGCATCACATAATACAATATTTTATACCAATAAATAGGAGCATTATTATAAATACCTTTATCTTATTGGACAAGATGAAGAAAATCTGATGACCATTTTTCTAAACAAAACTAGACACAAAGAAAGCAACTTTTCTTTGCAGTTGTTTTTAGACACTGAGAAAGGACTGAGGCATTAAAGCAAAAGGTTGGCTTTTATAGCCGCTACTCTTTTGTCCGTAAATAGTACTCCAAAAGAATATACAAATATATGTATATGTATATAAAGGCTAAAACTTCTTCTCTTCTGGTAGGTGAAGAAGAAAGATCTTTCAGTTTCCATATCTTCTTTTGCATAATGATTTGTGGCTCAGTATCTCTCGGCTGTCATTGGTTCTCCACAATATCCTTCTCTTCTATCGGTTTGAGAAAAGGTATAATGAAAAATATTAAGAATCAATCTTCATAGTTATGTAATTGGTTTTTTATGGCACAAGCCCCACTATGCGCCAAAAATCTCTGGAGTATAAGCGTAAGGCGTGGGCGTACAATTTTCGAAGGCGAGTTGCACCCTTTATACTATATAATATAAATTAAATTAATACTTTAACAACACACAAATACTTTTTAATGCAAATATAACAACATAAACTTGAATTTCTTAAAAAGAATAACAATTATTTTAATATTTAAAACCATTATTTTATTTATTTTTAAATGAAATAAATTAATTTTATTATCAATTTAAAATCTTCATATAACTTTAAATTATTATAAAATTTAACTTTTATATTTAATAAAATTTATTAAATAAATATTTTACTATTTTAAAATTAATCATATATATTATTAATTTAATTAATTAAAAGAACATAAAAATATTATATAAAAACAATAAACTTTTCGATAAAAGTATGTAAATAGTAAAAGAAGTTATGGACTTGTTATAATAAATAAATATTAGAATGGGCTATAGATTTAGGCCTATTTATGTGTTATAATAAATAAATAGTAATTTTATGTGTTAGGGTTACTGTTGAATAATAAAAGTGTAGTCTTCTACCGTGACTTTTCTATCGCTCCTGCTTCTACTACTTTTCCCGCAGCTCGGTGTCTTTCTTCTTTTTCTTCCTATTTATTATTTTTTTCCTATTTTTTTTAACAAAAATCTGAAAAGCGCAAAGGTGATGTGCCCGAGCCTGAAGTTCCTAGGCGCGCACCTCCGACCACCTCCCGTAGATCGCCTCGCCCCAACTTAGGTAGGCGCTACCTTCATTGCCTGACTGCGCCTCTAGAGCTCACCTTTTAAAACACAGGTTATCTATTATTAGTTTTTGTTTGATATAAAAATAGTTATCTAAATTATATATATTTTTAATTTAAGTGTCTAAATTATTTAAAGTCAGTCTAAATAACTAAAGTTTGTAACGTTATACGTTTAGGTATTTAGATAATTATCGCCATTAAATGAAATGTACGTTGTTTTTATAAAATTTTAAAAATTTACTTTTTTTAAAATAATTTTTTTATAACTATCTAAGCGTGACATGTGTCATTTAATTGCGGAATTTAACTTCTGTTACGATCAAAGCATCTAAAAACGTAACGTTGAAAATATTAAATATTTATATTAAATGAAAAAAATTTAAACACCTAAATAAAAATAAAAGATATGAATGTGTTTGGTAAACAATTTTTTGAATAACTTTTAGTTTATTTGAGAATAAATACTTGAATGATAATCAAACCCTCTATTTTTAGTATTTGATAAACATCTTTTTCAAAAAATTTATTGTGCAAAATAAGCTGAAAATGAAAACGCTGTAAAAACACAACGTTTTGGGAGATCTGATTGTAAAATAAGATGTTAAATGACATATTTGACCTTATTATTTCCATAATCACATCCTTACCATAAAATCTAATCTAATATCTTTTAGCGAAATTTTATTTTATTATTCTATTTTTTAGTTGTAGATTCTTAAATATATTTTAGTTAAGAAAATATAGCAAAATATAAAAGTAAAAAATGTAATGTTGATATTTTATACAAGGTTAATAGTATGTATCAATCTCACAATGTTAATATCTGTGAATATTAAATTTAAAAAATATATTTAAAATTTTCAAAAATATTCACTAATTTTATTAAGAAATTTTTAATTTATTGTCAAAAGTATTTTATTCGAATAATTTTACCCCAATAAAGGCTAAAGTATTATAAAACATATATATACTTAACAACTAAATGTATCATACTCTTATTTGTCTTTTTACCCATATCAACTATCAGCTAAATTTTATCAAACACTTTTATATAAGTAGTTAATCAAATTAGTTTCTCAAGTCAACTAATAAAATCAGTTGGTCAAATCAACTATTAAAATTAACTACCAACTATTAATTATCAGTTGTTTTATCAAACACCCCATAATTTAAACACGTATTTTTTATTAGCCCTTATCTTTTTAACTTATATCACATATTCACGTAGGTTTTAACAGATTTTTCATAAAATATATTATCATACCGAGTTAAAATTTAATTATACTATCCAAATGAAAGGCAAAAGAGTGAATCATTTGCATTGGTTTTGGTCAACAAATTCCATGACCTTTTTCAGCTTTAATTGTTCTTATTGAAAAGTATATGCAACAGTAACAAGTACCGTAACAAGATTTCCATAACGAAGTAACATAATAAATTTGGCAAGTTGGTCTAAAAATGGTCCAACTCCTATTATATTACATTTATTAGTATTATTTAAAGTAAAAATTATAATACATAAATTCTATATAATCTTTGCACGAATAAGTGGACTTCGTGATATAAGAATTGTTGTTATTCATTGAAGATCCGAGTTCGAGCATCATATATGTCAGGGATGTAAACTTTCAATGTCGAAATATTGAGATTTATATTTAAACATATATTGTTTTGTATTTACCCAAATTATTCAAAAAAATCTAGATAATCTACTAATTTGTAATTAAAATAATTATATTTAAACGTACTTTAAATGCATGTTTTTTGATTACTTAAATTTTTTAAATTAAATCATATCAACTATTCAAATCAATTGGGCTAAAAAATCAATTTATTGAGTTAAATTTACATATTAGAGCTAGACACCATCAAAAATCCTAATTTTTAAAGATGATAATGAATTTATGGGTGAGCGTTGGATTAAGTCGAGTTGAGTCAAAAAAATTTGAGTTGTTTGAGTTGATGAGTCATATTTTACAATTCAGACTTTATTTAAAAATTTTCAAGTCAAGTTTATAAAATTCGAGTCGATTTTTTAAGTTTATGTTTAAATTTAATTATAAATATTTATAATATTATTTGATTTCAATTTAAGTGACTTTCTATAACCATATATATAATACAAGTATATTTTTTTCATATTTTTTTCATATGTGATATACATATATCGTACAAAGTCCAAAGACTCGACTCAAACTTGAAAAATAAATCATTAATTACTAAAAATTTTGAGTTATTAGAGTTGCATTTTACAACTCGATTTAAACTTGAATTTTTTTTGAGTTGAGTCGAGTTTATGAAATTGGAACTCGAAGTCAATTCGATGAGTTTTTTCAATAGTCGAGTTTTGCTCACCTCTAATAAGGATTATTATAATTAATGAGACTCGAGGCTCTAACAATTTATTTTCACATTAAAAGCGAATTCCATTAATCTATATCCATATTTCTATCGACTATATTTAATAGTCATTTAATATTTACAGAAAATAAAATAATATAATTAATTGAATCTAATATCGAAGTTCAGATATAACATTGGATCCGCTTTATTAAACATGGACTGAATTGGTCCGGCCCTATTCTTGTAGACGGGAGAGGCCTAAGTGGACTAATTGCTTTCTTCTTTGAATACATGGAAGGTGGAGGTTTAGTCCAAAACAGACAATGGCTGCTTCATTATTGTATATTTGTTGCTTTAAGTTTTATATGGTGCGGTTGTTGGCGTTGCTTCTTTAATTCCCCATCTTCCTACTTCATACCAATCTGGTCCCCTTACATGTAGGAATAATAACATGTAGTTGGTGTCTTTATGTAATCAAGTATAACAGCATTCACTATCACTTTTATTAGTCTGTTTTTATATTGGTCACCAGTTTTAATGTGTTTCGATTTTTTATATTCTCAGTTTTTTATAATTTTATCATTAAATCAGAGAGAAATAAAACGACAACTCCAATCTTTTCAAATGCTACTAATTAACCCTGTTTTACTTACAAACATCTGAGCCTTGCTTCCATTTGTCACAGAACCCCAGTCTCGGGCTTAAACTAGTGCAAGCTATGTTGATTAAGAGATTCTACGTAAAATTTTGGAATTAGCCAACCTTATCCTAGGAGAATATCATAAGGAACAATATCAATTAAAACGTGCTATTAATTTATAGACTAAAAAAGAAAAAATAGTTCGGTGACAAAAATTGAAGTGCGAGAATGATGAATATCTAAATAGTTAGGTTACCCAAAAAAATATATTAGGAGTATAAAACTCGTACTTAATTTCTGCTGCTACATGTAAAAATAATCCCGTCAATATTAATGAATTGCCTTACAACCGTTAATATTACTAAGTGAACTCTTCTATGATATTTGAGTGTCGGATGACATATTTTTCAATGTAAGCTTGGCACTGAATTTAGGTTGAAGGTTTTTGAGGTGGATTAATGGTTTCTCAGGTATGTATAAAAATCGTGAGGTTTAGAATGTGTTGAAATTTATATTTGGCAATGAATCTTGGTGCTTAAAAAGACATACTGAGAGGAGAGAGACGAAAGGCAAATATAGAATAGTGACACTTTTTTTTTTATAAGTGAGAGTTTATAGTTGTTTTAAAATATTTTAAAGACGCATATCCAATCAAGTATACGTCTATAACTTTTCTCTCAAGGAAACAAGTTTCTTCAACGATAAATCCGCTACGACAGTGCAAGTTGGTCAATACTTGGCTGCATACCGAGGAAAAATGTCAACAAATGTTAATATTTAATGATACAATATTGAAATGATCTCTCCAAAGTTCGAAGAACCGTACAAGTATTTGACGATTATATATGTTAGTGTAAAAAATTAGGAAACAAAGTCGGTTGCCCAAGTTTGCAAGTTAAAAGACATGTCCGTCGACCGTCCTTTGTCTTGGTCAAAGAAGCACACGTGTAAATGGCCAACCATTCTCTGCAACCGGAGGGAAGGTTTAGAGGGAAAACGCCACGTTAGCGGCGGCGGCGGCCGAGCACGTGTGTTTGACACATTCCTACATCCCCACACGTGTTGGTCTCCAGATGGAATTATATTAGGTTAGAAAGTCTTGTTTTTTGGCCCAAAGTTAGGCAGCTCCTAATAATGGATGATGACCCTTGCATCATTCCCCAAACCTCTAAAAATATACATTTTATCCTCAAAGTTCCATTGATCTAGGCTTAGATAATCAAAACAAGACGCAGGAATCAAATTACTTCAGTTATAAAGGAAATGTTTTTTATTGATGTTTTAAGTTCGAACATCATGATTACCAAAGATACAATTGTTTAATATCAAATGATTAAGATTTAATATACAAAACTAAACAATGCATGAACAGTGTTAAACAGTTTTGGTCGTCGATGAAACATGTCTCAATGGGACCAAGAGTGATGGAATGAGCTTTGGGGTCGGTCCTTTCATTTGCTAACAGAACAGTACTTTAGGTTGCAGTGAGGTTCAAAGGCTATGGAAGCCGGAGATGGGTGCTAATATACCAGGTAAAAAGAGCTACGTGATAGTACCAAATGGCATTTTGACGTAGGCAGAAAAATGAAACAAAAAGTTACATAAAAAACCAGTGATATATATACAGGGAGCGCGTCAGGTTTAAGGCAAAACAGGGGAAAAAATGTCAAAACACCAAACATAATTCAAAGCCCTTATCTTCAAACTTGGGTGACACAATCAAGCCGGTTTCTTTACTTGTTTATTGCTTCCAACTGTGTAAACAAGCAAAGCATCCCCAATTTCGTCAATAAGAGCAACGAAAAAACAAAAAAGAAAAAGTGATTATAAATCAATGAACACTCACGGCTAAGAACAGAAATTTCAGAGCTCTTCAACACGCGCAGCCTCTGCACTGTAGACACAAACATGCTGCAAAACCAATTCAGACTCCCCCATATTACAAATACATGCAATACCGAAAAAATACGGCCAACATTGAGGAAAACAAGACGACAAAAGATGAAGTACAATAAAATACGGTATTCTGCTGTGATCACTGATTGTGGGAGTATAATATATAATCTGAAATTGGGGCACAGCAGGTCGATGGTGATAAGATACTTACTGCCATGGGACATCCCCAACAAGCATCCTGTCCCCTTCGTTATCCTGGTAATCCAGTGTATATTCCCCACTTCCATACAACAATCCCGTGATCGCTTTCTTCTCCTCCACCTTCACTATTCCACCACCACAGGCATCTCTTTGAGCTACACACGGGACATCAACATTATTAGAATAATAACCTAAAAGAGTTTTATCTAAAACTGAAAATTTCATGTTTTCTCTCCACCGTTTGCCACTCCCACCCCCTAAACAGTTGAAAACCAACAGTGAAGGTGAACTGATTTGTCATACGGGATGCAATACTAGCAAGTGTGAATGCTGTCAAGCACAAGAAGTTCGATTAAAACAAACTTGCCTAATGGCCTGATTGACTGGAATTTCGTATCAAATTTAGCTAAACCCATGGTTTTTAGCTTACATTATTCATTGGAAATTTATTTACCAGCAAGTAGGCCTCTGAATAGTTCATCAACCGCTGCAGACAGTTTTTCGTAGCAGTCATAGGCTTTGAGGTCGACTTTCCTTCCTATGGAAACTCCATCCATGTTGATTTTCACAAATTTGGCTCTCGGTTCAGCCGTTTTTTTCTCGTTAGCAGCCTTGTGTGGTGGTTCGGTAGCTGGTTTTGAAGAGCTGCTGCTTGCAAGATTTTTCCTAAAAGACCGAATCGGAAGCCAACCCACAACTGGACCAGGAGCAGTTCTGTTTTCCATCACCATAATAAACCATAGGATTAAACCCCGAATAGAAGTTATCAATTCAAGGGTTAAAATAGATGAATATAAAGAAATAAGATCAATATAATAATAGCATAACATAGGAAACTTGTACATCTAAAGAGAAAGATGATAGTTAAGCATTTACAACCAGAATAGGCTAAGAGCTACCATGAATGAGCAGATCAATAACAATAAATGATGTTAAAGAAATAGTTTCTGAAACCAGCTGAAGTAATGTAAAATGATGAACTAAAACTACAAAATATGCAGGCACATGTAAGGAAAAGATAAAGAAACGAAGCAACTAACATTCTAACAAAGCATGCATGGACCACAAAACATCAAGTAAGCTAATCTCGTGACTTGTCAATGAATATCCTCAGTCAAGAAGTTTTTTTTAAAAAGAAAAAAGAAAAAAGAAAGAGAAATATGCATTAAAGGGATGCAGAGAGACAAAGAGATGTAATAAAAATCTGGAGTACCTTTTCTGAGAAGTTTTGCGAGGACCAGCTGTATTTGCAGTAGGTGAAACTGGATTTTTCTCTGCATTCTGAATGTTTACGGCTTTAGTGCAACATGGCTGTGATGATTCCTTTGCCATAACGGGCAAGCTCTTTTGGGGTATTGATGGGAACTGAAGAAATGGAGGGCTTGTCAGCTGTTGAGGGTTATGGTGACGAGTTTTGGTCCATGAAGGGGACAAAACTGACCCGAGCGGGTGGTGGTAGTTGTGGTCCTCTGGAGATGGAAACGTATGTGCCTGTTTTCCATTGCTGTTCATTGAAGACAAGTACCCGAGTGAGATGACAGGCTCATCTCTCTCCCTATTGTTGTTTTTGGTGGTAGCCTTGATGGATCAGTTTGGATGGAAAAGATTCTCACTTGAGGGTATTATCTCATTGCTAACAGTAATTTTTTAACTTTATTACTGGAAATGTCATTCACACATATTCCATAGGTTTTTTGTTTATTCTCGAGCGTTTGGGCTAAAATACCTTTTCTCTTCTTCTCCCTGTGACCTCGCTCCTGTCCAGGTAAAAAAATTTAATTTTTTTCCCAATAAGATTTATCCTGGTAAGATTTCTCCTCCATTCCCTTTTTTTATTTTTCATATTTTGTGCTTTTGTTTCTGTTAACGAAAACCTCTTGAATATTTTCCTTTGTGAAAATTTCATCCGTTTTTTAAGGTTTTGAAGTTTGTTCTGAGCGATCTTCTACAACAATACCCTGAAGCAATGTATGTGGTATGTCTATGCTCCTTAGTTTCCTCGTTTATGTTATTCTCTTCAGTACAATGGAAGATTGTTATCGTGGCTGTAGTATCATAGAAAAAGATAATAAGGTAGAAGTTGAATAGATCTAGTTTGTTAGAAAAAGAATAAATGAATGTTGAAGTTTTTTTTATTTGATACAGTTATGTTTGGATTACTCGTTAGAATATGAACTAAGGTTAAATTTGTTTGTTTCGTGAAATCAATCCTTCATTTCTCCCCAAAGGTTGATCTCTAACTCATCAACGTCGGATGTAATTCCATTTGAAATCATATAGAAAATAGATTGGGGAAATATATACTTTCATTTTACCCAAACAGATACACCTTTCAGATCTCGCTTTTGCATTTTGCTCCTCCTCACTTGTTTATTAATTTGCAGTTTCGCTTTTGTTGGAGCTCAAAATCAAAGGCCGAAGAACGTTCAAGTTGCGATTCAAGCTAAATGGTCGGGTACTCTATCGCTCTTTGAAGCCGGGTCGGTTCCCTTTCTTCTTATTATTGCTTTAATTTTGGGTTTGTTCTGTATATGATTATCTTGTTGTGGATTTCGTTTATTTGTTCATATTCGTATTAAATTTATTCTCTTGGTGTGATCTGATTGTTTAGTTCTTATTTTTGAGCCAATGTCAATGTTGCAGAAAATGGCTGAGGTTTGTGTTTTCATATCCAACCACTGCTTTAAAGTTATTTGCTGTGTTTGGTTCTTTTTTGTCATTGCAAAAAATGGAGTATTCATACCTGCGAGATTTGGCTGATGAATGCGAAGATCCTTACATGCGATTAGTGTACACTAGTAAGGTTTCTTCTAACTTCTATTTCTTTCTAAGTTTAAATAGGTGACTGATGGTAACTAATTGCAGCTTCATGGTCTATATATGTCTATTATGCCTATCAATGTACCTGGAAACCATTCAATCCCATACTTGGGGAGACTTATGAAATGGTTAATCATGGTGGCATTACTTTTCTAGTTGAACAGGTGGGTCTTTTAGACCTGAGTTTTCGACTTGTATTTGAGTTGAATATAGGTTGAAAAGTTCAACAAATTTTTTGATATTTGAGTTGGTGTGCATTTGGCATTGACTTTTTTCTTTCTTTCAAATTACATATGCCATTAAATACAATAACACTGCAATGGGGAGGGAAGAACTTGTTTATATGCAATGGGGAGGGAAGAACTTGTTTTGAAAAGAGCAGGTATTTCTCTCGACCCCACAAATTAGATTTTAGAATTAATTTATACCTGTATGCATATTACATAGATGTTGCTCTGATTGTATGAACTTCGTTTGATGGAGGTGAAACAGGATATGGTGTTTTGTTTCATTCAGAACAACGTTCAATTTATCTGTTATGCCACTTTTCACTTTATGCTATTGTCATGTCAATTCATATAATAACACCTTACAACTTTTTCCAAGGCTTATATGTATTATGTGTTTATCTTCTATTTTTTTTCAATTGCCATTATGGATCTTTGCATTTGAATTCAATTGTGATATTTTCTTGGCAAATGTAGCAGTATGTTTGTGGTTGATGTTTTTGGTTTCTTTATATGGATCTTCTTTAATCATACTGTTCTCTCTAATGCATACACTTTTGTCTTGGTGTTCTAACTTGTTTGCTCTATGATTTTTGGAAACTTTCAACCTTGATTAGTCCTTTAATGTTTTAATATTATTATTATTTCTTTTTTGAGGTTTTTCTCCTTATGAATACATCTCATTCTTCTTCATCGTTCTCAATTGTAGTACAACTTCTTGGGAATGCCTATGCTGTTCTATTACAAATATGGATATCTTGAAAAAAAACGCATTCATGAAAGTTTTATTGTAGCATGCATGCTTGTTTGCTTCTAATCACATGCTTTATTTCTTTGGTTGAGGTATCTAAGGACTTGAGGTTTGAATTACAGGGGTAATTCTAGAAGATCCTCATACTGAAGATCTTAGCCAAGAAGTTGAGGTATCTAAGGACTTGAGGTTTGAATTGCAAATATCAAAGGACATATGGGAGTTGGAAAGTTCCATTTTAGTTCCAAGTCCCAGTATTTGATTGAACAATTGCTTACATGTGAAACATGAAGGAATTCATGGTGAAGCTTTTGGGATTTTACACATGTTGTAAAGCATGACAGATCATTATAATAAATTCTTATCATTCATCGATTATTCTATGAGAAATGTTTTTTGACCATTGATTTGGTATACTATTGATTAAACATTCTTAGGATTTATAAACTTTTATAATATATTTTTAACCAATTATTAATATTATCTAAAATACATATTTTTATAAAATATAATTATATAAAAAAAATTAATCTTTAAAAATTAATAAATAATACAACATATTCAATATGTACAGTTTCTTCATTAAAAACAGATTCTGAAAACAGTTTTCAGGAAAATTACTCAAACTGTGTAAAACATTTTACAATAAACATCCAAACACTGGAAAATGTTTTCAGTGAAACAAACAGACCCTAAGTTTTATTAGCTTCTGTTCAGTTTGATGAAACATTTTATGTCTGATTCAAAACAGTTGATGCCAACAAACAAGATTTCAATTGTAATTAGGGGTGAAACATTATTTCACTACAACCTATTGCAAGGTTGGATTGGATGGGTTAATCAGATCTGACGATAATGCAAATCCGTAGTCAACCTAAAAGACATGAAATTAGCTGATTTGGTGTCATAAAGTTTGTATATAGAAGATATAATAAATATTCGATTGCGGGTTCCACCAACTTTGAGTTTGTAATGGATGGTGAAATGCCTCCTTATGTGCTTGCAAAGGATTTGATTTTGCAGGAAAGATCGTAATATAAATTCATAAGATAAATAATAATGATAAAGTATGTAGAATTAAATATAAATATAAAAGATAAATAAATAAATTATTGAATATAGAAGATATAATAAATATCTTAGATAACAAAAATAATTTATAACTTTTTATTATTATTAATATCTATGATAAATTATTGTATATAGAAGAATGTAAATTTTGTCGATTGAAAAATACAAGAAATCTCCTAGTAAATGCGTCACGTATGAACCGAAGCTAATTTTCACAATGTAAACATTAAGTTAAATGTTGATGTAAAATTTTAATATATTTTTACATAAATTATGTAAAATTTAATATTAATTAAAATTAAAATTATATATGATATATTTAAATACTCAAGTAATATATTATCAACAGATAGAATTTTTATATAAATAATTTTTATTTAAATATTTAGAATTACGCTTATTAAAAAATATAAAACAATGACAATTTGATAAAATATATATTCCAGTAATATTTTATTCCTACAACCAAATAATGTAATCTTACATTCTTATCAAACCAATCAAACACAATAATATAACATTCTCAGTAATCTATGCACCCTTAGTTTGTTCAGCAGAGCAAACAAAATCAGAGACTAGAAAGCTAAACAAAAGCAAAGCGTGCTGTTGCTGACCTACTCAAATATACTCTTTTTTAACTCCTTCCCTTGCTCTCTCTAAAGTTTAACCAACTGGCTCTCCATTTTTTTTTGCACTGCTACACTTTCAAACAGAACTTTACTTTCAATGGCATCATTAACCCCGATAATATCCCACCCTTTGTTGCAGTCATGTCCCTCCTGGGTGAGAATAAAATCTGACAATTCTTTGAGTTAAATCTCTGATCAAAGGGCGCACTCTTTTGTTTGTTAATTGCAATGTTCCATCTTTTATTTTTCAATAAAAATATATCATTTATAGAATACAATGAAGTGATTGGGTAAATCAACGATAATATTATATTAAAAATCTCATGAATTATTTTTTGGGCAATTTTCTCAATAAATCACCGGTGATCGATATATTTACCGATCTGAACACCGGTCAGATTATATTTCCTGATCTAACACCCGTAGCAGTAAAGCGCACCCCCTGAATCGCACTATACGCTGATTTGGCACCATGTAGGTATAGCGCGTCCCCTGCCCCGCGATATACGGTGATCTGGCGCCACGTGGGTATAGCTCGCCCCCCTGATCCGCGCTATACCTGGGTATCTGACACGTGGGGTATAGCGCGGTGCAGGGGGCGCGCTATACCCCTAAATACCCAACCCTTCACGTCTCCATCCTTCCTATAAATACCCCCATCCTCAATCACTTTTATCATACCAAATTCTCTCAAATTCTCTAAATTTTTCTCAAATACTCTATCTTTTTAAGGTATATTTTATAATATTTTTACTATTATGTATTTACTTTATTTAATATTTTACTAATATAATTCTTTTGCAGATATATAATGGAAGACAATCTACTTCGCTCGGATGGAAATCATATATCTCTACACTTTACTGATACGGTAACATTTTAACGTTTTAATTTAATTTAAATTATTAGTAATATTTAGTTGATTTATTTAATGCATGATTATTAGATTAAGAATTAAATATCTCGACACTTTACTGATACGGTAACATTTTAATGTTTTAATTTAATTTAAATTATTAGTAATAATTAGTTGATTTATTTAATGCATGATTATTAGATTAAGAATTAATTTTTGTAATTATTTATTTTTAGGAGAAGGATCGTGTATTAGATCCTTTTATTAGGAACTTTAAGTTAGTGATACCTAGTCGTGTCTTGCCGTATTTAGTAGAGGCTGGATTCGGTTATATAGGTAGATATCAGGGTCACTGTAAGATAGAGCCAGACCTGATTTCTGCCTTAGTAGAGCGGTGGAGGCCGGAGATCCACACATTCTATCTTCCGTGCGGAGAGTGCACGATCACGATTGAGGATGTTTCTATGCACATGGGGCTTTCGGTGGATGGAGATGTGATATCGGGGATAGCTTCCGGTTCTTAGACTACTTTGTGTCGGGATAGTCTAGGATGTGTCCCGGAAAATTTTATCGAAGGTAGGATTCCGTTAAATTGGTTAGATGCCAATTTTCAGGAGTTAAGCGCAGACGCCTCTGAGGATGAGGTTAAGATGTATGCACGGGCATGCATACTGCAGCTGATAGGAGGGTTGCTGATGCCAGACAAATCGTGCAACCTAGTTCACTGCATGTGGTTGCGACATCTTAGCGACTTTCGTCTTGCCGGATCATTCAGTTGGGGCTCGGCAGTTTTGGCTTTGCTGTACAGGGAGATGTGTGGAGCCACTGACTACAGACGTAATGCTATCGACGGATGTCTCCTGCTGCTGCAGTCTTGGGCATTGTATCGATTGCTCTTTTTATGTCCCGTTGTGAAGAACTCATTCGTATTTCCACTACTTTTGAGGTAATTATAAAAATGATTTTTTATATTAATAATTTTATACAACGTATAACAAATTTTTTTCCTTGAATAGGCGATCTACTGATAGGAAAAATCATCAGGAGCTACCTGATGATTTAGAAAAATTAGGGTGCTAATCGATCAGAAGACTGACACACAGGTATGAATTTTAATGTTTAAAAATCGATTTTAGATTATAGTTATATAATTAGATTATTATTTTGATAAAAATTATATATTATTTGTTTTAGTTTGAATGAGTGTCATATTCTACTGATGATGTGAGGGCGGTGATCCCACCTGAGTTGAGGGGTCCATCAGATGTTTAGATGGCGATGGTCCCTCTGATCTGTTATACGACCGTCGAGTGGCACTCTACTGATCGCGTGCTCCGGCAGTTTGGTTGTTTGTAACCAATTCGGGAAGTACCTCGCAATATGGACGAGTTGCATAGCTTAGATAGACGCGGCAAGACATATATAGTTTGGCTAGTGAGGCATCATGGGTGGGTCGTGTTGTGGGAGGATCGACATCGGCGCCTTCCCCGTAGATAGCCCATTTTTTATGACCTCTTGATGTATGCTGAGGATTATTATGAGTGGTTCAACAGTAACGGGAAACCGTTTATACTTCCCGAGGATGCACGAGGGCAGACCTTTCCACGACGTCGAAAGAGACGTTCATCGACACAGCACCATCGTCCCCCGACTAATGGATGGAGAGAAGGTGCTTGCGGTTCATCCTCAGCTGCACTAGCAGGACCTTCCTTGCAGCCACCGCAGCCATATATAATGTCGCAGCCATATATGATGCTGCCATCGCCTTTCCATTACCAGATGTCACCGCTGCCGCATTCACCTGGTTTTATGACCCCGCCACCGTCACCGTCACCATCACAGATGACCCCTCCTGGAGGCTATTATGGGTCTATGTTTGTAGATCCGACTTAGGGTTCATATGTTGGATATTTGGAGGGTTCAGCCTCATCACCCATGGCCGTAGCACAGACACCTCCTGTATAGTTTTCACACTCAGCAATGTCTGGGTTTTCCCAGTTTTCGCAGGCCGGTGGGATAGTCAGTCATACACCTCCAGGGTCCTTATTCTATAGAGGTGCTTCATCGTCATCAGCTCCTCATCAACCTAATGTACATGCTCAGGACGACGACGACGACGATGACGATGGTGACGACGACGATGACAACGAGGAGTCAGAACCAATGATACGAAGAAATCCTACTCGAGACCAACAACCACCGCCCTGCGGAACACATTCGCGACGCATGCATCAATAGATTTTTTTTATTATATTTGTATTTACTTTATTTTGTTTAATTGTAATTTTTTATTAGTTTTCATTTAATTCTTACTTTATTTTGTTAAATTTGTTGGACTTTTTTTAATATATTTCAGTTAATTTTGTTTATTACCATTTAATATCAGTTATTGTAATTTGATTATCATTTACCATTTAATTCTTGTTGTAAGTTTATTGTATTTAAATACCAAATTGTTATTAGTTTGATAAAATTTAATGATTATGTTCATTTTTTTAATCTTCATCAGCGATTATCGAATGTCATTAACTTGAAGTAAATGCAAATTAAAATATAAGAATTATTATTTGATAAACAAATACATCATTTCCTGATCAATTGTTACTTGATGACAACAGAAGTGGACATATTTTTCTAGTGTGTCCTGGGTTTCTACAATGACCACATCTTCTGTCTTGTCTAGATCTTTCTCGAATATCCATATCGCAATGAATTCGATTGGATTTTGGATGACCACACTCCCTCAATAAACTCGGATTTGGTACAATCGGAAGCCAATCTTGAATATCATCAGGTTCTTTGTCATTACCTA